GAAAGAGCCTGAAAACTTGCAACTTTTAGGTGATAGTCCATGTAATACATCTGTCACTGTAAAGTTGATCTAAGATGTTTAAATATTTCTGCTTTAACTTCTTTTTTTACCTCAACCATTCACTATAATTTTTTCCTGTCCTACGGATTGTGTGGACAAGCCCTTGAAAGGTACCTGTGAGATGTTCTCAGTTGAGGGGAATGAAAAAATGTCTGTATGGTGTACGTGAGGGAGGGGAGGCTGTTAACAAAACCAGGCTGGAATCTGTTTTGAAGAAAAACCTTGAAACTGATTTGCTACCAGTGCAGTGTTGGAGAAGGGCAGCAGGAACATCTTAAAGTGGTGTGGCCTTTATTAGGAACGTGATGGAGGTGGGGAGCACCGTATCTCTGGGCGGTGGGTGTGCAGGGAGCTTGCTCCAACCGAGCCGTCAGAAGCAGCAGCCACCAGCCAGCTTGCGCCTGCTGGGACACAGAGCCCGTGAGAGCAGGGGCAGCCGTGCCCTCAGCCAGATGCCAGCCTCTGCTCAAAGATCACCAGCTGGGCTGGAGGAGCCCCGCGGGTGGGAGTTGTGCTCTGGTGTGAGAGCACCGGGAGCAGAGCAGGGTCTGGACCACAGAGCCGCAAGATGCAGAGCGTGGCTGTGGGGGTGTCGTGCTCGTCCCTGTGAATGATCAGAGGGGAGACAGATCTGTCTGAAAACCAGCCCAGGTGTCGTATGGACACGCATTCTGTGCGTCAGGTTCTGTACAGACCTGCTAATTCAGTTCTGGAGGGCTGCTTGCTGTGCATTTTGGCACGCTTACGCACAGCGTGGGATAGCCTGGGCATGGACAGGGGTGAACAGGGCAGGTGAGGGAGGACGAGTGGAGAAACCCTCAAATTAGACCTACCACCTACTGAATGAAAACTGAGTTTTCTTGCACAGTTCAGGTTGCTGGCCAGTTAATGGCAGAAGTGGTTGCTCTTAAGGCTGCAGTGTGTCACGCACAGTCAGTCAACTGCCTGAAGAATTATTAGAACGTTGTAAAAAGGCATGTGTATGGTCTGAAGGCTTCCACTAAAAAGAAAGGCGGTATCTGGGCACAGGGAGGTGGGGCTTGTGCCCATGGGCAGCTTCCCGAGTGCTGCTGCTCCTGTGTGGGACCTTGAGGCTTCATTCCCTGCCCTGTAGGCACATTTACTTCTGTGCAGCTGTAACGGCCGTGGCACTGGCCTGTGATGCTCTTCCCATTCACTTAGGTATTTCTCCGCGTTGTCAAAAGGCGAGCCCCTTCCTGTGAAGGAGAGAATTGAAATGCCCTTAGCAGCAGAGAAAACAAATGCTGGTTTGACCCCAGGACTACTTAAAATCTTGCACAAACAGGTACAAACCAACCTTTATCAAATGGGCCATGCTGTCAAGGAATACTGATGTGTTGGGGAGCCTGACTAAGTATTTGGTGTATTTTGGGGAGGGACTGTGTTCGTAGTTTCATTCTGGTTTTTCAGAGTTCTTATTGTGGTGCCATGATTTCTTTTAAAGCTTTCTCCCCAAGGCATGGTGAAGGTAGCAGAACTGAAGGAGAAGTGGGAGCACTTGTGCTTGCCAGAGGAGCAGCTGAAAGCTATCCTGCAGTTGGACAGCTTTGGCGAGGAGGTGGAGTGGATGAAGGTTCTGGCTCTGGGGTGCAGCGTGCTCGGCCGGGTACGTTCACAGCAGGAGCTCTCCTATCCAAGCACAGATGGTCCTGTATCATCCTACCTGAGGTGGACCATAGAAGAATTAATGCAAACGAGCTTTAGGGAATGGTGATTGCTTTTCCAGCAGCTGGTAGAGTGGCTTTCATATTTAACTTCTGTTCCTCATCAGCTTTCAGTCAGGGGAGCTTGACCAGAAAGAAAGCAAAGTCCTCAGTGTACAGGGATGGCAGCAGAGGAGCAAGCAGGTCTGCAGGGAGGTTGGGGCATGGGAGGGTGGCAGAGGAATGATGCTTAGGGCATCCATTTAAATGTCTGTGGAGGAGAACTGGAAGGAGAAACTAAAGCATGAATTTTTAATGGATTGTCTAGTCAATTAAATTTGCACAGAAACAGTTAATGTTACTAAATCTAATTCTTTTACTGTCAGTAATAAAATGTGAGCAGAGCATTTCAAAAGAAGGAAAGATTATAAAATGCACTAAGCTGATGTTCTTATGAAATATAATACTTTGAATGATTTCTACAGTAGGGAAGAAGGGATACTAAAAAGCAAATACATATTAATAATATTTTGAGAACAGTGCAATATCTGGCAGCCCTGAATGTTGACCTGGCCTGGTGATGCAATTGTGTATGTGTGTTTTGGGGTTTTTTAAATTAATTTCAGCTGTGTATTTCTTGATTCCAGTCCCCCTCCCAACATAATTTTGTAGCTTGGGCTCTCTTCTTCATTTAAAAAAGTAACGGCAATATCACTTTAAAAAAAAAAAAATAAATAAACCAAACCTAGAGTCACAGCTTGTGACTTTTGGCCTGTGTTCTAGATCTTGAACAGATACTGCATTTATTTTAAATAGTGCTGTTCTGCTGTTAGGAAATATTTATCTTCTTAGAAAGTTGTTTGCTTGCTAATGAAGGGGCAATAAATCTAGAAAAAGTTAAAGCACAAGTATCACTACTTGGGCTAAAAAAGGATAGTGTGGGGTTTTTTTGTTTGGGTTCATTTTGGGGTTTTTTGTTTGGTTTTTTTTTTTCCTTGTTTGAATGGCATCCAGCTAGTCTTTGACTCGACGATGCTCAATGTCAAATTTTTCCACACATTTCCCCATATGTGTAGGACATTGGATTATAGATGCTGTACTAAGTAAAGGTTTTCAAAGCATGTTTTGAACTAATACTTTGAGGCATTTGTTTGAAAGGGAACTCAGATGGTATTGGGCTTTGACTGAAGTGAAATATGCTTGAAATGCTTTTTGTCTCAGTGCTTTTTCTACTAACTACTAAAATGAAACCTGCATACAAGCACGGAAAAGAGTGAATATTAGTACTCTTAAAAATTAATATAATATAATGTTATGTGGTAATAAAAATCATCAAACCCATATGATTTTTCTGAAGTTTGTGCATTAGTTTATCTTAACTGCTGCTGAGAATTCATTCAGATCGTTAGGATAATAAATACACACTAACACACACTTATATATGTATATGTGTCACTAGGTATAGTGATGTGGGAGCTTTTACAGAAGCAAAACAGAGCAATTTGGCCATACTGGAGATAGGGCTCACACCCCCTGTGCTATCTTTAAACATCACTGGGTTCTGGTATAGTTTACTCCTGTCTCTACTAGAACTTCATTATTGTTTCCAGCCCTGACCTATGTCCTGGAGAGTAAAGGAGGGGTTGACAGCTAGGTAAGGATGGTAAACCTTCATGTCGTTTCCCTTCACTTTCAGTGGCTTACAGGGTGGAATTTGTCACGGTGTGCAAAGGATATTTATGGTTCTGATACTGTTCCTCTCATTTCTTGACCAAACTCTCTTGCAGTCCTTGCTGAGTTCAATGAAACATGCCTGTGAAATCTTAACAAAGGACCCAGAAGGTGGAGCTGCTCGTGTTCCCTTTGAGACATTCTCGTTCCTTTACTCGTATTTGGCCAGCATTGATGGAGAGATACCAGAGGAGGAAACTGAAGCATTCCTCCACACAATTAAAGAACAAGCGTAAGTAAAAATCTGAATGTGGAATTTTAATGTGGTTATCACCTCTGAGTTCTCCACACACCTTTAATTTCAGGTGAACAGTCTGTCTCCGCTTTGGGTGTAGACATGATGGCAGGAGTTAAGCTTAACTAAGGTTATATCCAAAGTGTACATAGTTATTTCTTGTTAAGTTCCTCAGCCCTCGAGGTTTGAACTGTTAAATGATATCTGTCCATCTTTTTTTTAAATATTGAAGCCACTATCTGCTGGTATCATTTTCCCTGTAGGAAACAATTACATACAGGTTTGTGTCATCTGCATGTTCCTGGTACTGGAACCAGCAGCATCTTATGGGCTGCTCTTTTGACTTAACATAGATCATAAACCAGAGAGGGAAACTGGGTGTTCCCACTTGAAGTCCAAAGTTTCTATTTCTATTCTCTAATTGTCCTGAATTACTTCTCTCTAGTAATTTGCTTGAGAAAACATCTAGTACACATTTGTTCTTAAAGGGTTTGGCTCTTCAATTTATGTAGTGTCAGCTAGGTTAAGTTGTCCTTGGAACAGCCTTGGTGTTCTTTGCCTTCAGTAGATACAAAGGCAGGATTTAGTCCCACTGGAATACTTCATCCTGTTTTGCCGTTTGCACCACGCCGGGGTGGCTTGGTCCATTTTAGTCCCCTGTGACCCTCCTGCTTGCGCTTCAGTTCTTTGATAGCTGGGTGTCAGTCTTGTCAGTAAGCCATGAACCGATGCAGTTCTTCAGAGGAGGAGATGTGCAGGTTGAAGATCAAGCGAAAACCCACTGCCTGGCTGTTTTGCCATCAATGACAGTTGTGTTCAGGTCTTCTTCTCAAGATGTGCTGTGCGATCTCTCGCTTGCTTCACCACAAAGAGGCAATCCCAGTCTCACCTCTTGACTTCAAGCAGTTTGTTAGCAAATAATGGTTTCCACCAATATTATTAGGTGTCCTTCTTATAGGATTGGGTGGAGAATATCCTGTTGATGATTGGTCCAAATGCCATTTTCTGATGTGCTGTCACCATCATTGGTGTTTCCAGCTTGCTTGTTCTGAATACTTCTGGGCACCTGCACTGCATGATGATCAACAGGTTATTAGAATAGTTTGGCCATCTTTTTTCATGAGCACACCAGCACTATTCTGTTGCTTTAGAATCATAGAATCATAGGGGTT